TGCGCACATACTCCACACACGATCCCTCGAAACAGCTTTTTTTTTGCAAAACAAAAGCGTACCCCTAAACGGGCCACACTTTTCGCAAAAAAAAAACTACTTTTATTATTATTAAACAAAAAAATGTGACACAATATGACACAACGAGTCCATCTCTATCATAGAAAAAGAGTCAGAGACAGATTAACAATGGAATTATAGCGTCAGAGAAAACTACCTGTGTGTCTACGATTTCCCAGACAGCATATTAGGAGAAACAAATATACACACAGAAAGACTACCCGTTCGAGGTATACCTACACTCGAAGGGGATGTGTTGAAGTCTTTACAGTGAGTAGAGGAAAACCAGCTGGGTACTTGACTTATTTCGAGTTTGTTTAAGCCTATACACTGATGATTTATATCAGTGATACCAGTTGATGCTTAGCACAAAAACATCTGCGTAGGTACNATCCACGATTTCCTAGACAGCCTATAGGGACAACTCCCCTGCGGGTGACAGGCTCAGAAAATCAGTTTGGTAGCTGTCTTGTGTGTCTCATATTGGTTATGTTGTGTAATTTCATGTCGTTAAATGTGCGAAGGGCACGGGCGAACACTTTCTCATCATTGCCTCCTGATGACGTGGTCGCCGATAGAGGCGTGTGGTTGATGAGGTTTCATCACCGACATGTGGGTGTGTGTTAAATGCAATGGGTATGTTCACCTCTCTCGTCCATGTGTAGGCAGGAGGTATGGCTATCTCTCCCATTTGTGGGCAGCGCGGACCATAAGTAAAGACAGAGTTTATCAGTTCATGCATGCTACATCATTGAAAACGTGGTCAAAATATTTTCAACTGAGGTATTTTGCCACGAGAAAACGACAAATTGAGACGAGCCCCATTGAACACACACGAAGGCATCAACTCAGTCGACAAGCTCGCACGCAGCTCCCCGCACACCCACACACGTGAACACAACGCTCCCGGGAGTACATCGCGTTAGGGGAACGTCAAGCCGCGGTTAGGATCGTGTGCGTTCATCGCGGGATCGAGAACAAAATACGCCGAGGTTGGTCTGTCTGGACTCTGGACTCGAAGCACACGGGAGATAACCACAACAACAGCAGCTAGTCGGGTGCCCCGCCCGTGAAGGGAGAGGTTACAGCAGTTGTTGGTGGAAGAGACGGTAGCTCTGGGCGCACGTACTAGGGGCGCGAAGCCGCTGGCGGCGGTTGGGATTTGGGGAGTGTAGTTCGCGGAGTGTAGTTCTCGGGAGTCGAGAGGAAACATGTCTCCAGCTTTGCTACGCCAAACATGGCCATCACGAGGAACATGTCCTCCTCTCCAGCTAGCACGCACAACACAGCAAGCAGTAGAACCTGCATGCACTCCTCATGCCACTCGTTGCGGATTCTACCTCGCGCAAGGCGCCCCATCCCCTCGCTCCGTGTCGGGTGCGGTGATGAGGGAGCGCGACCGTTGGGTTTCCGGGCGGTGCAGCGGTGCAGGTGGGGTTGATTTTTTTTTAACTTGAGGCTGCGCCGCTGCTGGCCTTCGCNACGCACAACACAGCAAGCAGTAGAACCTGCATGCACTCCTCATGCCACTCGTTGCGGATTCTACCTCGCGCAAGGCGCCCCATCCCCTCGCTCCGTGTCGGGTGCGGTGATGAGGGAGCGCGACCGTTGGGTTTCCGGGCGGTGCAGCGGTGCAGGTGGGGTTGATTTTTTTTTAACTTGAGGCTGCGCCGCTGCTGGCCTTCGCCAGGCAACGTGCGGCGGAATATTTTTTCGTGTCAATTTACCAACCGTTACCTTTTTTCGTGTCAATTTGCCAACCGTCATTTTTTTTGGTGTCAATCTATCTCAGTCCAAAATTTTCTTGTCAATTTAACGTGGGAACCCAGGATTATCCACACTCAGACGCCCGAGCTGTTTTCACCTGACGGTTACAGACCTTGGGAAAAACGCCTTTACAGCCCCGCATAAAACCTATGCAATAGTGTGGTGCAATCGGGCCGCTTTTCTTGGAACTGTGGAATTACCGGGTAACTACGGTTAATAGTGTGGTATGG